TTTTTTCTTCATCAGTATTAGTATCGGCTGATACCTGCATTTGTCGGCCAATTTATTCATGTATTCAACAACAATGCCTTAAAATTAAATGAGGCACATGCTTTGGTCTTGCTTCCATTTGCTTTTCCATCATTAATGTTTTCTTTGATTTGTTAACAATTTTTTCTTCTTTAAATTGAAAATTGTATTACAGTTATTATCATTTCGCCATTTTTTAAAATCTCACAAATAGAGTAAATAAAAGCAATATAACCCAAAAGAATTGGCCTAAGAAAAAACAGTAGCACATTTCAGGGATCAGGTAGACTGAAATCAAAATATTTGGTATCAACAAAAAGCATCATCTTCTATTTTCTTATTGCAGTTAGTGCTTTGCATGAATTAGATAGTGTGCATGAATAGCCATGACTGCAACTCACCTGTGTAAACATGTCAGATGTGGGTAATGAAAGCTGAGATCCTGCTTGCTGTAGGGCAAAACATGAACAAGTTACAACAGCAATGGTTGCAATGATTGCAGGAAAGATATAACATTGCTGCAAACCAGGAAAAGGGGACATGGAGCTCTGAAGCAAGCAATGAACCCAATATTATCTATAGGTGTTCTAAATATTGGTTCATCTGTACTTCTCTTTGTAGTGTTGTGGGCTAGGAAGAAGGGTAAAGGGCTTCAGAAACATGGGTTTAGAAACAAATAAAAGGAGTAGTAAAGAAAACAATCTAATAAACGTATAATGCATAAAATGAACAGAGTTCTAACTGTCTAAATGGACAAGGTCAGTGTCACGAATCCTTAGGCATTGTCCGTACAGTGCTGCTGGATAATAGCAATCAGAATACATTTCAGATGCAGGCACAAGTCCAAACTGTACTGCCATACAGGAGATAACAACACAGATTTAATAATTGCTTATGGACTTCCAGATAGGAAAGAATTAGAATAGTCCAGCCCTGAAGTAACAAATGCATAGTTTCTCAGCATCACCCCTGAACAGAATACTTCTAATGATATAAGATGAATGATGATAAGATGAAAGAAGGAAATTCTAGAAACGTCTTTGATATGGGGTTTAAATGACAGATCCCGATAAAAAAAAAAAGAGTTTTTACTTTATTATCTGAGATCAATTTAATCCCATCCAAATGAAGTGACTCACTAATCAGATTATTTTTCAAAGACTCTGGTCCAAAGGCTATAACTTAACTTTTGTCTGCATTCAGGAGCAGAATCTTAAGAGTCATCCAGGTTTTTATGTCTTCAAGACATGCCTGTAGTTTATGTAATGGGTTAGTTTCATCTGAATTTACAGACGGATATAGCTGAGTATCCTCAGCAGAATCCCATGCTGTCTAATAATTCTACCGAATAGGAGCATATAAATATATATATATATATATATATATATATATATATATATATATATATATATATATATATATATATATATATATATATATAGTAAAGAGAATTGGTCCTAGCACTGATCCCCATGGTTATCCGCAGGTAAGTCTTGAGCATGAGGAAGATTTGTCATTAACGTGAACAAACTGAAATCGGTCAGATAGATCCGATTTAAACCAGCCTAGTGCTGTTCCTTTAATTCCAACAAAATATTCAAGTCTTTCTAAAAGGTTATGATCAACACTTATGGTGTAAGTGGTCAGACACTTGTTTGGCAACTACTTTCTCAAGAATTTTAGATAATAAAGGAAGATTGGATATAGGTCAATAATTGACCAAGCCATCTGGGTCAAGAGAGGGTTTCTTAAGTAAAAGTTTAATTACAACTATCTTAAAAGCCTGAGGTACATATCCTTGTAATAGAAATGGATTAATCACATCTGAAATGGAGGAGGAGATCAAAGGAAATACTTCCTGAAATAACTTGATTGGAACTTTAATGCAACCTTGAAGTTTATTAAAAAAAAAGTGGTCAGAGAGGACTGTTATTTCTTCACATTCAATGCCATATGTCGGCACAAGGTCCAAAGTATGAAGATGAGCATGTGTGGGAGAATTCACATTTTGAACAAAGCCAAGATAAGATAGCATTAAAGGCTGCACTTAAGCTATCATCTCTCATGTCAGCATGGATGTTGAAATCCCCCACTATAATGACGCTGTCAGCATTCAACACCAAGTACGATAGGAACTCTGAAAACTTATCTAAAAATTCAGAACAAGAACTGGGTGGACAATACACAGTTACAAAAAGAAGAGGTTTTCTGGCAGTGTAAGTGGAAACTAAGGGTTAAATGGTCAAAGGAGCAGTGATGGGCAGTAGCGGCGCTACATGTAGCGAAGCTATTAGTTTAACTACATGTTCCAGTAGCTTGACTGTAGCGTTGCTGCTTTATTTATCAAGTAACTTTCCTGTAGTGACGTTATTGCTTTGATCAAGTAGCAACGTAGCGTCCACAAACGCTACAAAATCCAGGGCTTAACTATGAAATGAAACCAGGTTTTCTATTTTGAAACAACAATTAGAGTTATTCGCTGGACATTCACGCATGAGCCTCTATTCTATGAAGGACCAACTCTGCCATATTTAAAAATAAATAGCAGAAGCAGAAGTTGACTCTCTAGGACACACCCCCTCCTCATTTGCATAATGAGGCAGAAATGCATAGAGAAATGTAAAAAGGGCAGAGAGAAATAAACAGCGGCGAAGAAATAACTAAGGTAAAAAAATACAAAGGAAAAATAAAACAGACAAAAATATTATAACATGCACATAAATAAATACTTAAAAATATAAGTAATTAAAAAATAAAGTTGAAGATTATAAAGGACAGAAAAATAAATAAGGTAAATATTACAAAGGCAAATAAATAAAGAAGCTAATTAAGAGTTATATACATTTGTCTCACTTTTTTGTTGGCAATTAATTGTATGCTTATACATTTATTGAGCATTTATTTATTTCTGTATTTATTTTTAAATATGGCAGAGTTGGTCCTTCATACTATTCTGCCTCTTCTGTGTATCTACCGAAACATGCGCATGCGCACGGCAGTGGAACTCAACACACAGAGCCACACACACACAGGGTGGAGGAGGAGACAGGAGCAGAGCTAGAAGAGCAGCCAACTGTCGCTACCACACCGTGGCCTTATCTTCAGAGATTATGAAACTTGTTGAATCCTCAGATAAAAAATAAGTGTACAGATGTCTGCTTTTCACAAAAAAACAAAAACAAACTGTTGTCAACGTCCAGGACATCCAACACCAACCTGAGAACTCACATTCAGGTGAATCACTAATTTCCCTCCTGCAGTATGCAAGTAAAAATATCTAGTGTTAGTGTAAATCCCAACTCACTTTAGCCAAATGCTGTGTGTAAATTAGTAAAACGAAAGCTACCCACCTACCAACAAGCAGTGTGTGATGGAAAGGGTCTAGCCAAGTAGCTAAGCAGAAGTGTTTTTAAAAAAAAAAAAAAAAAAAAAAAAAAAAAAGCTTATGCAATATTTATAATTGTAACATGAGTGATTTTCAAGGTTCTTGGCCATAGATAGCTCATGTGGCCAAGATTAGCCATTTGTTTTACATAGCCAAACACTAATTAAAACAGTCAACTACAGTATATTTTTTTTAAAATAAAAATGTGAAAAATATATCAGCTTTAACTTTATTGGCACCTATCTTAGTGGCACACATTAGATTAATTTCCAGATAGATTGAACTATCTGGAAATTAATCTAATGTGTGCCACTAAGATAGTCTAATTAGAGAGCAGTAGTGAAACTTCGATATTGTATTTTCATGGCCTAGTTTACCTGACAGGATGTTTACATAAATCAGTTTTTAGGCTTTGCACAGATAAGATTTTTTAGGTATGGAGGAACAGCTCTACCGTATATAAAATACATAAATAAATAAATGCTCAATAAATAAATAAATAAGCATTCAATTAATTGCCCCCAAAAATACAATGAATAAATATGTAGGTAGAAATTCTTTATTTTTTCACTTTCTTTTGTAAACAGTTTTATTTGTTACTTGAATCAATTTGTTTAATTGAGGTCTAAAGAGGTTTTCTCTAAGGGAGACCCTAAAGAAATAAGATGCCTTTTGTAGGGTTTTGTTTTCCCTAGAGATGTCCATTGAATGCAAACTCATAGCCATGTCTCGATGTGTAGAACACTACACAGTACCTTTAATTTGGTTTTAATAACAGTAGATTGTTAACTAGTTTGTCTACTAGTAATTACTTCAGTTTTTATTTTAATATGCTGATCATAAAGCAATGTTTACACTGTGTTATGTCATTGGCTGATCTTTAATAAATGTTTTACAAGTGTATCAGACTCATTTTGAATTGACATTAGCTTGGTACAGCGTTAAGTAGCTTCTGATGTAGTTAAGCTACTGTTAACACATTAGTGTAACTTAGCTTTTGTGTAGTGAAGCTTAATTTATTGTTGAGTAACTGATAGCTTACCTCACTACACTGGACAAGTAGCTAGCCCAAGACTGCAAAGGAGTTGTAATTATTAACTTGCCTTTGGAGTACTCAATAAGTCAGACTGAAATATTGTTGCTACTCCTCCTTGCCCAGAATTTCTTGGTATTTCTTGGTATATACTCTTTAAATAACTAGAGGGAGTTGCCTCATTTATGCTCACATAATCCTCTTGCTGCAGCCAAGTTTCTGTAAGGCAACATAAATCTATATGACTATCACAAATCAAGTCACTTTTTGAAGAGATATTAGTTAAATAAACCAAATTTAATCATTTTAACTATTCCCCCAATTAAAATTATTTTTATTAGATTATAATGATTTACTCCTTTGGGATTATTTTCTAATTTATTTAATTTTGGTTGTGGGTAAGACACTGTCTGGATTGAGTAAGGAGTGGGTAATAGTAGAGAAGCTGCAGAGAAGTGTGTTAAACTGTGACTCTTATATCCTACGACTTTTATCTTCTTAGAATAGTATTTAACCAGATTATATAACAGTGTCAATGTAAGTCCTCAGCATTCCCAATTTTGGCAACCAATCTTGTTTTCCTGGTTTACTAAGCTTCCGCGGAACTGCACAACTCAAACATTTACCCAGGCTTCACAAGTAGACTGAATTCCTTTACATGCACACACACATCCTTAACTTTTGGAGGACTGGGCATTCATCTCTCGATTTCTGAGCAATGGCAGGTAAGGCTTCTGCATTTAAAGTTCATTCATCGTATTATGTTTGAGCATTGTCAGTACACTTAGAACTGGGCTTTTTTGCAGATGAGCTATTCAGAGTGCGCAGCAAATTTGTGGAAAAGGTGTCAAAATCTATGCTCAAGCAGCTCCTCGATGATCTTTTGTTGGATCGTTTGTTAAATGATGGAGAGGTAGAATCTATAGTGGAGGACAATTCTGCTAAATCGGACATGGCTCGCTGCCTTGTCGACATGGTGAGAAAGAAGGGGGACAAAGCCAGCAGAAAGCTGATCCAGCACATTGAAGACAGAGATCCTTCACTTTATGAAGTACTTGAGCTGTCCTGTGGTCCAGCACCAGGTGAAACTTTAGTCAATGCAATATATGGCTACAGGTTATTTGCAGTTATAAAGAATACCAATATTAGCCTGACAGCATAATAACTAATCTTTAGTTTTTTTTTCCTCTCAGATGCAGCTCCTCCAAAACAGAAAACCTGGTCAAACACACTCATCCCTGTCACCGACTCCTGGAAAAGGAATAAAATGAATGACGCAGATGTAAATTTCTAAAACAAAAAAAAAAAAACAAAATCAAACAAACTGTTCTCTTACCTGATAGAAAAAAATAGCAGATAAATTGGGTGTTGCTGCACCCCCTCCAAAGAGCATGTTTAATTTTACAGAAAATAAGTAACAACTTACAACTGTTTCTTGTGTGTATTTTTTTGGTTTTTAGATTTACCAAGTGTCTGCAAAGTCTTTAAAAAGTCGTGTGGCCCTTTTAATCACTAATAGAAATTTTACTGATGAACGCTTAACCAGAAAGGGAGCTGAGAAAGACGAGGAGAACATGTTGAATCTGCTGAACTCCCTGCAATACGAGGTGGTGAAACACAATGACCTTACAGCAAAGGTATTTTTATCTTTTCTTTTTTCTACAACCAATGTTGGGAAAAACCACTGTTTCTACAAGTTAATGTTTAGAATTCAAAGGTTCATATGTTACTCTGATTTATCTGCATCTTTATAATACCACTTATAAATGTGCATTTGAACAGAGATTGCAGAAGTCAAGTCTTTTCAGATGTACTTTTTATCTAGTTTTAGGTATCAGCAGGCTTTTTTCTCCAAATTAGAATGATTTCTCTGTAATAACCATAGTAGCAAAATCTGACTTTAACACATCAATGTATTACTGTTGATTTGAGCAACAGCAACATTTGCACTGCTCAGGATGCAACATAGTGATTCATTAAATATTTTATTAGGCAATTGTTACCTCTCAGATAGTGAAAGGTTTATTTTATGCATTATTTAAAGCTAGTTTAGGTCCAACACCAATAATGATCTACAAGGCTGCACATCAATACATAGTCTTTAATTTTCTAGCGTGCCTCTCAACAAAAGTTTTTTTAAACTTGCCCCAGCTTGTTGTAGATAAGTGAATAGCATAATAACTAAGCTGCAACTGGAATGTGGCTGAATGTGCACCAATACGAAACAAAGACATTCTCTGTATTCACTTTTAAACAGAATGAGAAAATGGATTCCATGTTTACATAGGGAAAATATGCAAAAATATGGTTATTTAAAATATCTTTAGGACATAATTTCACTTTACCTGTATTATCCCAAGTTTTTATTAAACACTGGCTGATTTCTTGTTATCTAACAGGATATTGAAAAGGCTCTTTGTGAATTTACCAAACATGCCAAACTCCAAGACACAGACAGTGTGTTTGTGGTGATCATGTCTCATGGGAAACGGGGAGTTGTGCTTGGCGTCGATCACAAAGCAGATAAACCAGATGAATTCCCTGTTGACAAAATCTATAAATATCTGGGTCCACAAAAATGCTCTGCACTGATGAACAAACCCAAGATCATCATCATCCAAGCATGCAGAGGAGGTACATGTTTTGACCCTTATTTTGAAGCAAATGTTTGGACTAAATCCAGGTTTAATTCAAACTGGTTTGTTACAGAACGGGGTGGAGCTGTGATTGTTAGCGACAGTCCTGAACTTGAGGTGGTGTCTGATGATGCATCACACCAGCCGCCCGCTCATGCAGGCAACATCGTTGAGGACTCCATTCGATATGTTCACAAGGAAAAGGACTTTATTTCCCTGCTGTCGAGCACGCCTGGTCGGTTTGTTTTAAAGACATAAGCACATTTATGTTTTCTTAATTTACCATCAAATTACCATTATTTCATGCAAGAAAATCCTTTTTTCAGACACTGTCTCATACAGAAGAGAGGATTTAGGCTCCTTCCTGATACAGTACATTGTTGAAGTCTTTAACACCTGCTCACATGAGGACGACATTGATGAACTTTTCAGAAAGGTATTTCAATGGTAAAATGTTAAACAATCAAATTCTGAGGAACATTGAATCAATAGAGAAATATTGTGTCTTTTTTACTGAATTCTGCAGGTCATGCAGCGTTTCGAAGAGTTTCCTGATGAAACCAAAAGACAAATGCCAACCAAAGACCGATGCACTCTAACCAGGCGCTTCTACCTTTTTCCTGGTCAATGAGGCAGCATAAAAGTTTGATAAATCCATCAGTTGTTTAGCTAATGATGCTATGGAGTCTTCGTCATCTGAAAAACTACTGTTGTGATACAGTAGAATTATACCTTTAAAAATGTACTTAACATTATTATCTTTACATAAAGTTCAGGTTTTTATCTTACTTAATTTAGCAGAATACGTGCACTTATTAAGTTTCGTTCATAATACTGGAATTTTGCTGCCATTGTTAAAGAATAAAAGTTTGAGGAAAAAGAAAACCTGTCTCTATTTTCATGTGCTGTTCATAGTGGTGCATTAGGATCTCCTTAAAGTACAGTAAGGTAGGCTATTAGATTTAAACTGCATTTAGCTATTCATTTTTCAAAACTGTCTCAGTTTGGAACAATATATTTAAACATTTTTCATGCATTTTTGGCAATTAACTATTTCAAAAACTTGCATTGTAAAAATACACCTAAGTTGTTCTCAAAAGTTTCCTTTTAAAATGATTGCTTTTTATTTTTGACCAAAAATTGATTAATATAACTCTTAACTTGGCTTGAATTAATTTTCATCTTTTGAATATAAAGTAAAGAAAAATCACAAGAAACTATAATTATAAATTCTTTGGTCTTTAATGTAATAAATGTGTATGATGATGAAAAACCAAGGAAAGCTGCAAAACTCGGAAAATGGAAGCTTATGTTAAATAAAAATGGTCTTGGTTTTAGATCTAAGATAATTGCAAAATGTCCATCTATAGATCTTCTAATTGAAAACTGAGAAAAATCTTTTAAATGAGACATACTCATGCAAACAGACAATGTAGCTTATTTTTGTAAAGTTTTTCCCCCTTCATGATTGAGTTTGAAGGCACTCTCCTTCTCCTTTCACTCATCATCGGTTGTGGAGCTTATTGTGGGTCTACCCCTCCCCTCACCCATGTATTGTTTTCTCTAAATCAGTTCACAAAATCTGTAGATCATTTTCCAAATAGACTTTACTTGAAAACAAAAAATAATAAAAACATGTTAAACAAAGAAAACCACTGTATCACAACACAAAGGCAACAGGTTGACTAGGCAACATGGTAACATAGTTGCAGTTTGTGAACGTGGGATGTGTCCATAAAAACGAATGAGGGTACTCTGATTTAGTGCTGATAATGTCATTGACTCATCAGGGGAAAAACGTTGCACAGTTTTACTAACAAATGCACATGTAATTTACTTTAAGTAGGTTCAACTCTGTTTAGCTTAGCGGAACTGATTGGCAGTGTTAAAGAGCTCTGTAGCCATTTTAAATAAGGACACAGTGGCTAACCACCAACACCCAGTTTGACTCAACAGTCCACATTCAGACAAGAAGTCACAGAACATTTGTTCTTAAACATACATGCATACATACAGAGAGGCACACCAGTTAGGTCATAGGAAAAGAACCAATGAATTGCTTTAGTTATGTGTAAAAAAAAAAGAAAAGAAAAAAAGTTTGGCAGTGTGATGTTTCACCAAGTAAAACATTACCATCTGTACAGCCATTGTTTTCTTTTTGTTGTTCCTCCTTGCATTCGAACACAAAACAGCACTTCACAGTGAACTAAACCATGCAGGGCTTTGAAGGAAACCAGAATAAAATATTTGAAGACTGCAAAACTTTAAATAATTAAATATGCTAAATATTGTATTTGAAAACACTGCAGATGACTGACCTTCCACTTTGCTTGTACAACACAAAACAGATATTACAAACAAAGTAGCATCTTATTTGCAAGTCGGAATGTCTAAGAACAGCTTTACATATAGTTTTTTTTTGTAATCTCTCATTTCAGGAAACATTATATCTTTGACAACACTCAGATGAACAGTTTGCAGCACCACATGTTTACAAAATAGCAACTCATGCGAGAACACCTCTGGTCCTGTACACTGTGAAAATAACGCATCATAGCGTATGTAAAGCATCTTCTGCTAAACGTGTTCTAGATTGCAATTCCTTCATACAGTAAACTAAAAACGTTCTCTTCTGGTTTTGCCCCATGTTTATGTGTGGATGTTTAGCTTTGTGAATGCGTGTTTTTTATTTTATTTTGATGGCGGGTGAGGTTTAAGACAGAGTTCCTCCTACTATGGAGGCGATGACAACTCCCAAAATCACACAGCATATAAGGATCATTATTTTCTTCTAGAATGGGTAAACAAGAACATTAAAAGAAAAGAAAATCCCACGCAGCAAATAGGGAAAAGAGGAAAACATGTTAGCAGAATGAACAGACCTTTAATACACACTGAACAAAATGCAGACTAGAAAACATAATAGATATTTCATATTACTGTATTCTGAGAAAGTTCTAGGAGTGTAACTGTTACAAGCGTTTGTAAAAGCAGAAGTTTGAAATAATGCCACCCAGCATTTTGTTCAACAACATAGAAGATAACAAACAGAGAGAACTCAGTCAAAGTAAAAACAAAGAGTAATAAGGACTCAATTGACGTCATAATCTTAAATATATAAATCCTACAGTATAAACACAGGAAAACCAAAGATTGATGCAGTGTCTACCATCAGCCATAAAAGGATTTGTCTGAATGGGATTTTGGCTAGAATTTGATCTGCTATGTTGCAATAGAGCAGGATTTAGATTTTTAGAGGTTACACAATGTTGATTTTTAAAATATAAATGCATGAGATTAAAAACATGTTTGTTTTTCTTAGTTTAAAGAATACTGAGCTCTCTCTGCCTTATTAATATTTCAAACGTCAAGCAATCATAATCACACAACAGATGTAAAGCCAATGCCAGAGAAACAGAAGAATAATGAGCTTCGGCTCCCTCTAGTGGTTGAATGAGAAATGTTGTGTATTTTGACACCGTCTCAATAAATATAGTTCATACACAACCAATTGTTAGGATCTGGGTCTTATTTCTGAGAGAATTGGTATGCTACCCTGAGGAGTAAGAAGATGCTCTGAGTATTTCTACTCTTCTCTTCCCTTCTCAGTTTTCTGTTTTAGTTTAACTCCATGTCTCTTGTCTTAGTCATGCCTCATACTTAGCATGGTACTTCTAAGTGAAAGTCTGCTATTTTAGTCCTGAACCACAGGTCATGGCACAAGTTTCCAATTAAAGAAAAAGATGATGACTTGTACAGTATTAAAAGGCACATTTCTATAATATTTTAAATGAAAAAACAAAACTTTTAAGCTCATAAAAATCTGTTTTTTTCAAAGGAAAAGAAAGTTTTACTGTAAGTCCAGTATGGTGGTCCTTATAAAAGTTAAATTTCAAGAATTTTGGTTGAACTTAAGAGGTAGCTCAAGCTTGATGAAGTTCATACAATGAATCTGATAGGTATGCACATTTTGCTTAAGATCAAGACTGAGGTTTTTATTTTTTATTTATTACCTGTTGATAACGATTACATTTTGTTAATTTTAATCCTTCATTACACAAATTTTATTAAAATGTATTGTTATTAATTGTTATTGTTACTAATTTTTATTAGTTCATAAAGTTTATCGAGATGTTTGTGCAAAAAGGCCCAATATTTTATTGTTTCAATAACTGTCACTTTATTAAAGTTTAAGTTTTGCAAAATTACAAAATGTGACAAATCCATATCAAGGCTCAAGATTATACAAGCAGGCAGCTTAGTTTTAGTTAAAAAAATAAAGATGTACATTGTACTCGAAGTGTACGATGCTTATTGTTTGTGCACAGCTGAAAATAGACTTGCATTTAGTTTTTTTGCATCGTGTGTTTCCTGAAGTCTCGAAACCGGTACTGTATATTCTGGTATTCTGTGACAACCTGTAATAAGTACTGCAATTGTTCTTCATCCTTTGTAAGGAGGCCATCGAACTACTCAACGACGACCACCCCTCACTCTGTGATCATTCATAACAGACAGGTTTTTTATTTTGTCCAAAGCTTGGATGAATTGCTCTTGCTGATCCCATGCTGTTGGTGGAAGTGTGAAAAACATTATTGTGTTGGTGGTGGCAAAATCAGCTAATGTCATATTTTGTATTTTTGTGAGATCTGTTGATGCTTTCACTGCTGGATCACATCCACCTTCTTTGGTTTTCATGGCCATTACTCTTGCCGATTTCATTCCCAGTGAAACAACAGCATCAAATAGCAACAAAGCGACTAATGGTTGTGAAAGATACCACAGATTTCCAGAGAGCTTGTGACTTCAGTGCTTGTGACAGTGTTTTGTGTACATTGCCATATTTCTGCATCTCTTGCAGAAGGCCAAGCTCATTTCTTGGAGCACTGATTGACAACGGGCTTTGGATCCAAGCTCTCAAGTAGATCACTATGAAAAACAGGCACAAATCTCGTAAGCCAGTTTCCTCACGTGCTGTTAGTCGAAACTGCTGACCAAACATCCAGACCTTGAATGTGTAGATGACTTTGGCCATCTATCATGCTTGATGCATGACACCAGCTAGCGCCATGAATGTCACACCATGTGATTACCCACCAACATAGATGAGTACCAGCTCTGGCAGCTCGTGGTAGTCATCTCTTGGTTGAGATTTCTCAAGGCAGTTAGTTAGGAAAACCAATAGCTGGTCTCAGGGCCGGCGATTGCTATAGGCGAGCTAGGCAATTGCCTAGGGCGACAAATGTGTTGGGGGCGCCCTCTAGCGTCGCCCTTAGGCTTACTTCCCATTAATCATAGAATTAGAAAAAAAAGCGAATTAAACCGGTTATGAAGCATCCGTCAGTTTGACTTAACCTTACGTATATATAAATAGCAAAATATGAACAAATAAATATACCACCGTTTTTTTATTTATTTTTTCACATTTAAGAGAAAATCGGAAAAGATTCTGATCACTTTTCAAGCGCCCTCCAACCCGGAAGTCGTGACGTCAATCACTGCAGCATGTACACCAATATTTTGGAATGAAATTGTAAGCAAACAGATATTAAAAGTAAAACAAGTGAAGTCTGGCAGTTAACTTAGCTCGCAACTCGAGGATGGCTGAACGGAAAAGACTCCTCCTCCTCCTCCTGCTGCTTGCAGTCTGCCCGTCTTAATCATCCACTCAGAGTACCACTGGTAAGCGCACACAGACTTTGTAGCTTGTCCGGTCAGTTAAAAATATTAATTGTGAAATCCGTGTTGTAATCGGAAGCATACAAGCTAGTTAGCTTGAAAAGTAAATAAAGTTTCAGACGTGCTGCGTGATGATGTGTTCAGATTGGCTCAGTAAAACGACAATTAGGTTATCATGATGCGTTCAAGTGTAACGTAAAGAAAACGGGAAATTTTGTTTTTGGCGAGAAACATGAGTAATACAGTTGTATATTGCTCTAACTATTTTAGAATATATAATTAAACTACTGATGCCAACATTTATTAAAAATTATATTTAATTTAAAATACAATTATTTATTTGTTAAATATTTTCCTAATCACTAAAAACATGATGAAAAGTGACAGTAGACAATACATTAACCAACAATTGTGAAAATATATTCTAGTTAGTTTTATGTCATTTCGAAGTGGCCTATTACATTAGCCATGTTTATTGAAGGCTAGAAACGTTTTTGTTATGCTCACTTGTTAAGCAATAGAAGCAATACCAGTTCTGTTAATAAAATTTTGTTGCATCGTCTTTCCACCAAATAACAGAAAAGTATCGATAGTGGTATCGATAAAGACTTGGATCGATAAGGAGTATCGATAAAGGTATCGATATCAATAAATATTAACGATCCCCATCCCTAATGTTGACATCATTTTTTTCTCAGAATTATGTGCTATATTATTAGCTTGAGAATGGGTAGAAGATACTAATATAAATAAAATATTTTGTAGTGATTATCTGCATTGAGTATTCAAAAGGGATGTACAAATAATCATCAAAATATATGAAGCTATGGCTGTTCATCATAGAATATGTGAACAAAAAAAAAACAACTTCAAACTTTTAATTTTGTAATGGTATTCATAAAAGCACTTTTGTTTGTAGAGGGTTAATCCTTTCTTTAATCACTAATCAATGTCAGAAATCAGGGTAAATATACCTGATATATTTTATTTAGAGGAAAATTTTATTTATCTCTATTTATGTTCAAATGATTTAATTGAACTGGAACAGGAAATTTAATTTAATGTTTATCAATTACTTTTTTATGTAGTCCTTGGTTGAAGAATTTCTTAAATTTATTATTTTTTATTATTTGGTAATTTCTGAAATTGATTTATTTAATATTTGTTTAATGTGTGTTAAATTTGTTAATTGTCTGAAATAAATTCATTTAATGATTCAATCCAGTTTTTTAGTTATACTTTACCTAAGTGTCCTTACAGATGGTTAAAAGTGTTTTTGCACAGTCCTAACTTTGAGTGTGTAATAAATTTTTTAAAATAATAAAAAAGAAAAGGTACTGCAACCTATTCTGGTATTTGTCTATGCATCACTCCATGCTAAGTTACAGTTTTTTCTGAATGCTTAAACACAACCTTGATTCTTATAGCACAATTTCTAAAACTATTAATACTTATAGTAAATCCACTCACTGAGTTCACAAAACTAAAAGAACAAACACTGCTTTGCACTCAATTTGCAATTTTGTAACACACACTTTGCACAACTGTAGGCACAATTCACCGCACAGCACTCTTTGTGGAACTGTAAACACAACTCAATGAAGCACTAAACAGATGCTGAAAACAGTACTGGTATTTCGCACGGCAAAAGTGTGTGTGTGTGTGTGTGTGTGTGTGTGGGGGGGGGGGGGGTGGGGGGGGGGGGGGGGGGGGGGGCGCAAAACTCAATCTCGCCTAGGGCAACCAAAGGGCTAGAACCGGCCCTGGCTGGTCTTTCACATCTTTAATTTGTTCTCCAGTATGAACATTGCTCTGTGCACACTCAAACTCTGCTGCATTTATGAGCTGCAACTGGTCTTTGAATCTTCTGAAAAGTTTTATTCCTGGGCCAGCAGATGTACCAATGCACTTCAAGAAGGCAGCTCCAGTAATCAGCTCCATTATGTGATGGCGGCATGCTTAGTAGAGTAGCTTATATCCCAGGAGTTGTTCCAGATTAGCACATACTCCATTTGTCCCAAAATATGGAATGTTTATATCTTTTTCATTAAAACATTTCATTTGGATTGTTTAATTTATATATTTCTACTTTTAATACATTATCTAATAGTTGATAAGACTGCTCAACTATGGACGTTTTGCTGTATATTCAATCAGCTTGAGCTACCTCTTAATATAGATAAATTGAGGCAATAATTTGCATATTATATTTCATCAATATATGGAATGTTTTGAGAGGGTCGGACAATAAAATATGAAAACTTCAAAAATAAGGTACAACTTAAAGTCCAGCCAACAGAAAATAATACAGCATTCTTATCTTTTGTATATATATCTAAAGGAGTGGTCACACCAAAAGTCTTTTTCAGCAAACAGAGCTACAGATTTGTATGTTTTTCCTATGTGAGCTTGGCAACATGGGCAATGCAGCGCAAAGCAATGCAACAGACATGTTTTTAGTGGATATACAGAGTTTGTGGTATAATAGACCATCATTTGTACTTATTTTTGATAATGACAGCAGGTACTGTAATGCAGTTGGTCTGGTTCTATGAATTTATTGCTGATTAAACTTCCCTTACCTATAGAAAAGTAGATGGGTGTCATCACTATGAGATTGCTCTAAAATTAAATATTTTTATTTCCTTTTTCTAAATTGTGTGTCAAGTTTTGAAAAGAAAACTTGATACACAATTGTCAAGAATGAAGTTCTAAAACTAAGCATTATTTAGTCATATTTAAGAAAATATGAAAAGCAAACAAAACACTATTATCTTCAGCAATATAAAATGACTCGATCAGACAATGTCAAAAGTAGCCATTATATGAAATACATCTTTAAAATCTACAATCTGGAGCCACCTTTATAGCAGCTAATGGCATTTGCTTGACAGTTTTTAATCAGTACACTGACACTCTCACATGCCCGCTCTGTGAGGAAGTGTCAGGGTCCTAACTGAGGCCGACTGCAAGAGCAATAATGAGGATGATGAGACACAGTGCGACACAACCTCCTATCAGGATCACCTTCTGGATGGGGAACAGGGAAAGCAACGAGTCAAATAAATTGGACATAGGGGAAGGAAGGAAGGAAGGAAGGAAGGAAGGAAGGAAGGAAGGAAGGAAGGAAGGAAGGAAGGAAGGAAGGAAGGAAGGAAGGAAGGAAGGAAGGAATTAGTGCTATTTAACGATCCATCAACAGAGGGCAGAATTGTTCTACAACCTGTTGGGTATATGCAGAAAGAAGGTCTATGATCTGTAAATGATGGATGACTGCTCTAAATGATCTAGGTAATTTCTATCATTTTTGACACAAGCCCCATAGAGCACAGTTGAAATCAAATCATCTAAAACATATACCTTAATTCACATGATACAGATTATATTAGTATAAAAGGTAAACAGAAGATTTGCAATCAAACATATTTGACAACAAGAAATCACTGTTTATTGATTAAGTGAACTTGGAGGAATGTTCATTGCCATGATTAATGATTGAAATAAAAAGTTCATAAGTCAAATTGCAAAACCATGAGTATTACTCTGGCATAAATTTAATGAAAGTAGTAATGCTAAATTATTTACTAAAGCTTGGAAACCCTCTACAAGGTATGGAAGGTAAAAAATCGTGAAGCACTGTAAAAAAACCTACATGTTTCCATTTAGACCCGGGGAATAAGATTTACAAGATGCCTGATAAATAAATATTCAGACAGCCCCGTTACATTTTAATACTTTTATTTTTATGTAAAGTTCCAGTAATGTTTGAGAAACTTTAATTTGAAGCTTTTTTGTTTCTTCATGTACAATGTAAGTATAATTGATAAAGAAGGGAAACCATCCAACACTTTCAATCAGGAAATTCAGTCACATACTTCCTTCTTCAGAACTACAGTACACCAATTACAGAGAGAATGTCCTGTGAAGGAGGCTGGGAAAAGGGCAAATTAGATTAACTTTATTGTCCCCAAGGTTCTGGCTTGAGAAACTGACGGAACCAAAGTAGTTTTATTTCCTGGTATTCCTCCTTTCTTTTTTCTAACTAAACAGGGTAAAAAAATGTCCCAGTTTTGTTCCGTAAATCCTCTATTTAACTTTCAAGAAAAGTGAGTGCAATTAATGAAACTGAACAGGAATTAGTATTTTGAACATTTATTTCCTGCCCACCCTTCTAATGGTTTTATATGACAGGCTAGACCCTCCCAAAGAACAGCGGCTTATTGATTTACTTTATTAGTCATTTATTAGTTATTAGTTAAGGTGATTTTGGTGTGGCAGGTTAACAGATTCAATAAGAGGCTAGTTCCAAAGTTATAGTTAAATATCAACTGGGTTAAATATTGTTATTCAGTTGATAATATAGCTTGAAATATACAAATCCTACTTCTTCCTTAAAGTCTACTAATTAAGAGAGTAAAAAAAGAGCTTAAGGAGGATAGTCGAATAGATTTGACACCTCTTCACTCTAAATTTTTTAAAACTTTGTCTCCAAGGTCATCAATTGTACAAGAGTCAAAGCCTGCACATGTGATTTCCTCTCATCTGAATACCCAACTCTCTCCGGGGGATGTCCATTATAGAGCCAGTTGTGTCATATTGTACATCCCTATGTAGTCACTAAATGTCACTGGATCTGGTGTTTTTTTCTTCTTGACTAACCTAAAGGTGCTTTTAGAGATAGAGCATCCAAATGAGTTGGTACCACCAGAGGTCAACGCAGCTCTATCTTCTATTTGGTGTCACACGTATTCAATGCAAACATAAGACATGCACACTTCATAAACAGATTATAGAACGGATAAACATGCACACAGACAGCAACAGACACTGCAATCCACTGGGCGCATGCAATTTCACTGAAGTTGCATTTTCTTGTGCATGCACACTAGACTTAGTAACTCACCCTCCGGGCTTTGCTCTGGTATTTTACCGCCTTCTTAGTGTCTGATACTGCCCTCTCCACATAGTCTACCGAGTGTTCCACATTGTACTCTATGCGGTCTATCATTTCCCCCTAGGAATGTTAGTTAGATTGGAGGTGTGGGAGAAACACAGATGGAAAGTAGACAGAAGGAGCCAGGTGTGTAGGCAGGAGAAGGAGGAGATATAGATAGAGAGAAGGTAAGGAAGAGGGGGGGAGAAAGAGAAGACAATTATGTCACCTTTTTCTTGCTCTTTTTGAACTTTTTGCATTTTGGGATTCGCTCTTTTGCTTCCTCCACATATTCCTGAGTGCTCACAACACACCGCTCAATGTTGTTCACCAGCTCTCCCTGCAAAAATAGGAAAAGACAGTGTTGCTGTAAGCAGAGACAAGAATTTAACAATAGCATCACTTACAACCCTGTTTTCTTTAACTACCCACAGCTCTTCCACTCCTCAACTCCTCTTCCACTAGTCAAGGTGAACTGTCATTTTAGTTATTTCATTTAATACTCATCACTATTTTTTTTCGGTTGAATATTGACCAAAGATAAATGTCTAATACAATTATTCTTAAGTTAAAAAGATGCTATAGTACGTTGCTTACTGGTGCTGAATAAATGTTTTATTTTTTTGTTTATTATTCAGACTCATAATCACTACTTATCATTCGGGAAAAGTCTCTAAACGCTACTTTGACCATTTCAATTGAGAAGGTATATGACCAAAGCACAGTTATGCATTATATAGGTATTCTATTCTTAGCAGTTATTTATATATTTTATTTAAGTTTAAAACAAGGAAAGCTAACACTAAGCCACATTAATAGCTGTAGTTTATTTTGAATTCCACACAGTATTCATCTGGAAAGGCTCCTGTGGAAAGTGTTCGCAAATGGGAGGGACCTTTAGTGAAATTCTTCAAGCTAATTCGGTAAATCACCAACTGGCACCTGCCTCCCCTGTTGAGCTTTTAGCCAATCACAGCAAGCAGTAGCAGCTGTGATGTGTGACATTCATAATTAGCTTCACAGCTAGTGAGTTAATTGCTAAATCAAATCCAGAATGCGCAAATACGTATTTTTGCCATCCACAAAGGCACAAATCAATCATCCTTTGTCTTTTTTAAAAAAAAGGAATAAAAGAAATAGAGGGTATTCAAGCTAATACAGACTAAATAGCGCAGTCTACAGGTGCAGCCGTGTTTGTTTAACTTCATCCTGGCATTTCTGTTGGATCTCATAGACGTTACTTAGTTTCATTAGTTTGAAACACATCTGTATTTGAGGATACTGCATCTATTGGCTTCTGGCAAGATGTACATTGGAAGTTTATGAATTAACAAATCACAACAAAATTCATCTTGGTTGCAAGATTAAAGGCCCCGTCATACCTTGACGTTTAAGCCAATGTATGCCTGATGCATGAAAAATCTGGCAAAAACGCTGGCATATGTTGGATAAGTTATGGGCACGTTTTGTATAAGTTATGAACTCACTTAAGTAAACTGAAGAACGCTGAAACACGCTGGCATATGTCGACATACGGGAAGTGCGTTGAATTTTTTTTTACCATGCTCAAAATTTGACAAAGTATGCCAGTGTATGCTATACCTGGGACACAAGTGACAGGTAAGTTATTTGATCATCGACTTAAGTTAAGTGTAAGTTACTCAAGTCGTGGTGCCTAACTTATCCAAAACCTATGAGTAACTTGTGCACAACTTATGGGTAACTTATCAAGAACTTATCTCTAACGCATATCAACATATTTGACATGTTCCAGACTAACGCTGAACTTGTTTCCAACATACAGCTACCGTATAATGGCGTATTCGCAGCGTTTTGGTAAGAATGGGAGTTCATAGGAGGAAACTGTCTATACTCCTCCAGACTTCATCCCCAACATAGGGTGAGCAAGAAGGTGAGTGTAATCGATCATCCTTACTTTCACGCCCACGGCCACGACCAACAAGCTTCCTAGCAGACATGATGCTGAATCTGCTATGACTGCAAACCTTCTTTTTTTTTTTTCTTTCTTTTTTTTTCTTTTTTTTTTTTGACGGCGGTAAACAGCAGATAGGTTCCACACTGCCTATTTAAGCTCACAAACTTTTTGTCTAGTACTCAACACCTGGTGTATGGTAAAGTTTTTTTGTTGACTAATATGATAGATAATATACAGCTGCAAGTACACACAAACCACGCAGACCAAGTAACGAACCGCTGTTACTGAATATCCCCATAGCAATGTCTCCTTATCTTAATGGGTATACTAGTGGAGCTTGCAGCTAGCATCCTTCCATCAAAACAATAAAGCTCTAGATCTAATTTGAAATTTATATCAAGATGTTAAGGTGGCCACCTGGGTCAAAAATAAAACAGAAGCATTGGAGAGTGTCATAACCTATCAGCCAGTACAGCAGTTGGTTACCATGGAGACTGATTTCAGGCCAGTGGACAGCCATTTATCCCAAAGCCATAACCCAGATTTCGGTAGTAACCTCCTGCTGCTGCTTAATAATGTAGTTCATTAATATTCAGATTTTTGATAATCCATTAAACCAATAAAAAGCTGGATTGGAATCCATTACCATTTTGCTGTAAAAATCCTCTGTGATCAAATCATGGTACTCCTGCCACTTCTTAATGAAGAACTTCAAAGAGAACCAGGTGGATGGTAGAATTCCAAGTATTTTTGAATTATCTAATCCATTTTGTAAGAGTTTATACTGTATCGTAAATCTAAAATGGGTGTATTTTTTTAAAAGGCAGCAGGAATTAGTTTTCATAATTATCCTCCCCATAGTAAGAATGAAACTTTATCATTGCACCTTTATGATAAAATAGCAATTACACACTAAAGACAGTCTTCACAGCATGCATGCAAAATAAAATATGATTTTATGACACGCTGAATTATAAAATAGACTTGAATTACCTTGTGTTATTGGAAGGAAGGAGCTTTCTTTGTTCTCTAGAGCTTAGAGTCATTGGAGCGATGAGAGAGTTGCGTGAATAAAAAGAGGAAAAAATCAAAGTAGTGGATAAGGAGAGACAAAGAGAGATAGAAAGCAAAGCTAAAATTGGTAAAATCACAGTTACATCTGGTAACATACTAAAACTAAAAGTAAAGCAATGAAAATTCAGATTTTAAGACAATCAATCAAATCGAATTATTACATTTTTAAAACAGTCATTTCTTTTCAATAGCACATAACTGATTGTGAAGGTCATATGGCTTTCTTAACATAAAACTCCTTTGTCAGATTATGTACCTCTGTTTTATGTTTGGATGTCTGCTTTTAAACTAACTTTCTATAGTGGTTTAGAGCAAATAAGTATATATTTGTGGCAACATCAACATAAATTTACTTTTGGACAGCTTGTTGCTAAAATGCCTTTGACCTTATAGACCTTGGGTTGCTGATAAAAACTTGGTATATTTATTTCATAAATATTTATATTATTAATAAATACTGGTATGTACAGTACATATAACTGATTGAGACCGATTGAGGTAGGTTGCTTGAGGGATAAAACAAGGTTAAGTGTATGGCATCAGTATTTTGCCACATATGCAATAAATACTCCTAAGAGCAGCTTTACTTCATTCAGACGCTCATAAACCACTCTTCACACGCATGTTTAACATGTTACATGTGAAAATAGGTCCCACAAGTTCTTGTTATTTCTCTGTGCTCATGTGGTTTGATTTCCACATGCTTGCAGCCTCTCTCCTCCTGTTTCTGTGCACTCATGTAAACTTTTGTGGCTTTGAAAGCATTATCCACCAGAATAAAGCAACCCACCTGTGACTGACTTAGACAAACTTTATTGTCATTTTGTATACAGGGTGTATACAAAATAAAATTTGGATGCATACAGCTTTTCAACAGTGAATGAGCAGCTTAGCACTAAAATGAACATTTCCATTTATAAAGTGCAGCGGGGATCATAATGTAAACAGTGTAGGAGAAAAGGAAAACCAGTTTAAAGACATGGTGCGAAAGGCATTGATATGGAAGGTTCAGAGCAGTGCAAAATAAATACATAAATATGGTGCAATATGCAGGAAAACACTGAATTGAGCTCTATTTAAATGGATTTGAAAATTCGCCATGTAGTGCTAAAATGATGTTTAGAAGATGTTAATCGCATATGTGGACTTTTGGGAGAATACTAACGCCATAAAAGTGCTGTTTATATGACATCTTCAATAAATAAATGACTTTAAACTCAACTATATTTGGTGATAACTCCTGGTCATATTACTTTGCTTAAAAATTAGAAAACAGTGGAAACAGTAATAATGATAAAAGAGAAATAAACACTAATTTCTAGCAAAACAGCAAAACACACAGATATTAATGTAAAATATAAGATAACATATAAAATTAGATAAAAAGTATAAAGCTATTTTTTGGGGTTGATAGCTGAGCTTATTATGTATAACGTGTACGATGATCTGCTCCCAAACTGTTTTTTTTTTTAATGAAAGAAACAAAGTAGACGCTGAGAATAAACCATGCATTTAAAAAGTAAAGGTCATGTTGAAACTGTTTAAAGGTGTTAAAGGAGAAACGTTATTGCTGTTTAAAGAAAAACGAATTGTTGTTCTCTAGATAGACATTTAGAAAAATGTAGAAAACCAAAACAAAATGACATCTTGTGTTGTAATTTATTGTTAATTTCCTTTATCATATACGTTTTTGTGATGTATTATTGTGATTATTATTTTTTGAAAAATGTGTAGGAGCAAAGCATTATGCTTCAGCATAAGCATTATGCCATTACAATCGGTTTTGCTTATGCATGTGTTATTTTCTCTGGGGGTCGGGGGGGTTCAGCCCAAACTCATGTAGTCAAACATGCCAACAGCGGGTCTGCAGTTTAACCAGAAGCGCTGAACTTCTCTGAGGACAGCAGATGCTACTCTGCACTAGATGATTATTGTGTAAGGCTCTAAGGAATTATATTTCTGAATTAGTATCTGAATTAAAATAATCTAGAGATGTAATTCCTTAGAGCCTTACCCAGAATCATTCAATTTGCACCAAGCAGTGTCTGTAACTAAGTGAAATCATCAAACAATGCAAAATATTTCACCCATCAAAGCTTTATACTTCTTTAACAATTGAGGACCTTAAGTGTCTTTAGAAAAAGTATTTCTTTATAAATCTGAACAGCTGTTAAAATAAATGCACATAACGCTTGAACCAAAACTGATCACTCCTAAAATAGTAAACGCAGTAAGATACTTTGCATGGCTAACCAGATGGAGCTGAAGGTGCAACCTCATGCCAACTCTGATGGCACAAGAAGTCTATTTTATAAACTCTGAACATGTTGTCTGCAAATTAAAAAAAACACCACCCATTGCAGTCCAAACACTTTGTTTTTTTAAGGCCAAGTAACAGCTCTCTAAACCTCAGAGCAGCTACATTATGAAAAAATATTTTTTTTTTAAAGTTTATCTCTATTTTAAAACAAAGTCATCAACATTTTAGTTAACTTGGATTTCTATTCATATGCACATTTGCAGGTTTATTTCATTTGTGTGCATTTGGTAACCCTCAAATAAACCCAGCAACAGAGAGCATAGGAAGGGTTTTTTTCACCTGGCTCTCCACCAACATGGCCATATCCATGAACATGTCGTGAAGTTCTCTGATGCTGTTCTCCAACTTAATAATCTCATTGTGCCGTGTTTCGATCTCATTCATCGCTTGTTGGGTAATGTTGTCCATTATTATCTGACAAGAAAGAAACATACAACAAAGTGGTAGTAGGTAAAAGTACAATACATCTATACAATAAAATTTTAATGGTTCAGTTACTTACCCCAGAGGTAAAGATAGCAGGATTGTCACTCTCTAACATGCTCTCTAATTCCTCATTTGTTGTGTTTCTTCCAGCTAAAGTTAATAAAAAACAGAGAAACAGGCATACGTGCATTGAAGCCATGTTACAGTGGTTTAATTATCTTGCTATTAGATGCAAGAGAAACAATAATTTCCACTTTCTAAAAAAATCTTCAAACAAATTCAGCACTCTTGCGAGAACAAATCAGAAATTAAAGGGGCGTACATTAAACATTTTGATAACAATCAAAAATGTTAATTGCACTGTGTAAGAAATAGTTGGCACTGCAGTTGTTGCAGTGCCAGTTAAAAGGAAAAGCAGCTATTATTTCCCACATAATTCAGGATATATAAACCTGTGGATATTTGAAAACACAATGTTATATGATTATATGACTTACAAAGATTAGTATTTATTTAATGAGTCTATTAGTTAAGATGCTAACTGTGGAAATTAAAGTTAGAATTATATTGATAGAAGCAGGGCTGCTGTACAAAGGCGCCACCAGACCCTCTGACAACCAGCAGCAGGCTTGACAGGAGAAGTGTCTTTCCCAAGGACACAGTGACAGAGATTGACAGAGTAGGGACCTGATTCGGCAACCCACTGATTAAAAGAAGAACCACTAAATCCTAAGCAACTATGTTGATTGCATTGGATTGTATTTAGAGGCACTGCAATAAAGTTGGCTAAACACAAATGCTAACTCTTGCTAAAACTTTATAATTTTTCCAACTGCCCATTGGTCATGAACTTTGTTATAGTCTACAGTTTTTTGGTATAAAGTGACAAAATGTAAAAAAAAAAAAAAAGAAATGTGGTGTGAATAGTGTTATAGTTGCTACTTTACCTACAGTTACAGACCAGTAGGTCCTTTACAAGCAAAATTAACTGTCTGAAGCAGTTTATCTGCTCAGACATTTGTTTGCATCTTATGCAGCTTTTTCTGGTTTTACTTTGGCATTGTATAATTTCCCACAAAGATAATATATAGTGCATTATTATGCCAATGAAGATTGTTATCTGACATAGTATTTTATTTTCCTTCTAGATTTCCTACAATGTTCTTTTTAAGGCAGCCATTTATCAGATTGGAATGTGTACAGTATTATTCATTACTGCAGTAATGGCTTCTGATGATGTTGTTAAACAATTTGTTCCTCATAAATAATGCAGATCCAGACAGAGAAGCAAAATTTGAACTTAAAACATGAATGATTTAGCTTACTGACTGTTTTTTTTTTAAAAGTTGCTTAACAGGAAATGCAGTTGAGAGGTTAGGAAATCATGCAGCAAAGATACATGAGCAGGAACTTGACCATGGGATGGGAAGGCTGAAAACTGATGCCTCTCTATATGGGTCATGCTATACCCCAGACCCACCCCTGCACAGATATTTAAATTATGAGGAAGAGTCAAACACATTCTGGTTAATATTCATTGAAAAAATATGACCACTCGCTCAATCCAACCGTCTTCTATGTTATAACCAAATAGTTATACATTATGTATTTCTAAGACAGTCATACTTGCACCAAAACAAATGGCATGAATGATTTATAGCAGTAATAAATACTGGAGCTTATCTCTACTTTATGTACAGAATTATAAAAAAAATCTAGAGTACAGCAACTTCTTTAACTTTAGACTTAGACAAACTTTGATGTCCTTTTGTATACACAGAGTGTATACTAGGGGTGGAACGGTTCACAAAATCCACGGTTCGGTTCGATTCACGGTTTCATAATCACGGTTTTCAGTTCGGTATATGTTTATCCCATAAAAATTGGGAAAATCCCATAAAAATTAATGAAGAAATCCCAAAAAATTATTGAATTGTAATTATTTTTAATGATCTGCGGAAACCATGGATCATTTCCGCATGTTTTGCTGCTTTGAATTTAATCATCTCGCGCATGCCCTCTACGATCTACAAGGAAGTCAGAGCGGAGCGGACGGGAGCCACAGAGGAGGCTGTATGCTTTGGTTTGTGCAGGCGGTCTGGAGCGCAGCGGGGCGGAGCACTGACGGAGTATGTGGGATTTCTTCGATAGCCTGACATGTTGGTCATGTTGCTGTTAGCATAAACAAAACGTGTTGCACAATGCTTGCACACTGTTGCACTTTTATCCACAACTTTCTTTCCGCCATCATCGTAGGTCACTCTAAATGCAAAGTGGTCCCATACAGCAGACCTATAAAGTGCTGCTGGCGCGTCTTCCAACTCCTGTTCTTTCCCACTCGCCATACCTACACAATTCTCCACAACAACCGATTTTTTTCTGCTACACCCCGCTACGCTGCTTCGCTTCTTCTTCTTCTTGTTTACTACTGGTGGTTGACTTTGGTCGCAGTACTGCCACCTTCTGCCCTGGAGTGTACATGTTTCGTCTATGAGAAAAAGGAGCCGTGCATGAACCGAACGCAACACATGCGAACCGAACCGAGACAGTCGAACCGAACGGTTCGGACGGTTTTCAGAAACCGTTCCTTCCCTAGTGTATACAAAACGAAATTTCCTCTTGTACAGCTCTCATGAGCTGTACATAAGGTGAAAATGAAGACGGGCATGTAGGACGGCCTTACATGAACACATCACCAGAATAAATGACAATTAGGAGGACCATTTATTTTGATGTTCCACTTACAATAAGAAGATCCTCCACTATACCTTTCAGTGAACATAATTAATTGAACACATTCATGCACAACAGTGCCTAGCACTACCCATTTTTGCGAGGGAAATAAAATATCACAAAAAGTAGGATCGTCATCCTGATAAACTAACTGCATAGATGACATTTTGAAATATATAAACTGGCTTAAAAGCATGTAAAAAATATTTTTTCTACTCATTAAGGCAAATAAAGCCAAGCCACTCACTTGAATCCTTGGCCATTGTACAAGATAGAGGCAATGGAAGGAACATAGTAACTCAATGCTCTTGAAGCCTGTCAGGAGCAGCCATCATCAAGAGCATCAGCAAAGTTCTTAAATCGCGTCTGACCTCAAAGTGCACCTTTTTGAAGTTCAAAATTGAATTGGTGTTAATGCACTATTAGTCACAGGCTATGCTGTAATCAGCCTGCAGATGCCTCTTAGGAAGGACCAACGTTTGAATTCAGACAAACCATTGGAATCACTCCAACCTAACAGCTAAAGTTAGCCTGGAGTAACAGATGCCACTGTGTGAGTCAGATACCAGTCAACTCTACAGCATTTTGCCTAAATAGTCATAACAACTCCCTTAAGAAAATAAGCTAATTCGGGTTAAAACAAAGAGAGTCCCCACTTGTTCTGAAAAAAATTTGAGTGATGCTCCCACTTTTGTTTCAAAGGGAAGCTTTAATGGCTCAACAAAAAGTCAATAATATTTTTTTTTTCTCAAATATGTTTGGTTATACTGAAATTTAAACATAGAACATGCAAATAAAGGCTTTAGCAAACATGGCAGACTCTTCTGGAATAAAGCTTTACGACACGGATATGTTGTTGCTCCGCCCCTCGTGGTTGGTTCCCTTGGAAACTACCAGTGGTGTCAAAAGTACACACATTTGTTACTTAAATAGAAGTATAGATACTGAAGTATAAAAACACTCTGGTAAAAGTTGAAGTATGAAGTACTCAAGTAAAAGTGAAAAAGTATGTGCTCCAAAAACTACTTAAAGTATAAAAGTATAAAGTAACCTTTAAGAAAAACGCCAGATGCCACTATATGAATTGAAAGCTCAATTTTTCGACTATTTCAAAAAATTCTTTGAGATAGGGCCAAGGATGAGGGAGGTCTTGTTGGTCTCCGTCTCCCGATATGCTCTCGCATGTGTCCGACCTTTCAGACATTTCAACATCTTTTTCTGAATCCCACATTGTAGCATGGCATAGACAATTCACGTTTGCAGTTTGAAGAACACCTGCTTGCTTCTGATGATTTCCTTTAACTAACCAATGAGTGTTTGCATTATATGACTCATCCATGGCATGAAATATATATTTATAAACATTAAACCAGGGGTAACTAATAAAAAATCAGTGGGGTCTGAATAAAGAAAATCAACCAGTACTTTGATAATTTGCTGCTGTAATATTATATATTTTTTAGAATAAAAAGCTAGCAGATGTGCATAATAAAAAAAAAAACAGAAATACGATTATAGAGCATTCAGTATTGTAAGATACCCACAGCCCACACTGTTTCTGAATAAATACATTATTGTATGAGTTATGTTCTGTTCCTTTTATGTTTCTTTCCTTGTAAGTATGAAATGTCCCATGCTCCTGAATGCACCATAGCTGTCTGACGCTCGCGAATGCATCACACTGGTCTGTGTAGATGCGCGATTGATTTTCAGCTGAAGACAAAGCTTTGCAGTTTTAAAACCCACGTCGGCTAATCACTGTTTATTGTTGTGTGTGAATAACAAGAGACTACAGCAAATACATCACCTTTACCTCGGACAAAATCTTTGGATTTAATGTTGTTCATAACATCGCAGTCTGCTAATCCGTGACCTGTGCTTTAAACCGAAGCCAAGAGTAACAAGTAACGTTTGTTTTAAAAATGTAAGGAATAGAAAGTAAAGATACTTGTGTGAAAATGTAATGAGTAGAACTCAAAAGTAGGAGGAAAAATAAGTAATGGAGTAAAGTATAGATACCTAAAAAGTGTACTTAAGTACAGTAACAAATTATTTGTACTTCGTTACTTGACACCTGTGGAAACTACACAGTCATACCTTTCCAACAACCTATTGTACATCTTTTTTAAATGTTATCAAGTGTTGCAGTTTCCATTCGTAACAAAGTGAGAGCACAGTATCCTATGCCATGTGTAAAACCTCGTAGTCTTTGCATGTTGTAAGCATAACATTGCTTTATATTTGAAGAAAAATATTCACTACCTCCAAACCAAGGAAACTAGTTTCGATGTGTCACATGGTTTCATTAAAGAGCCCAAGAAGCTATTTTAGTTCAGTAATAAGATGTTTATTTATTGTTTTTACAAATTAAAGTATCAGTCATAGAAGCAGCTATTCCGAGCTATCCTAACTCCATTTGTTTCACTTCCTACACACACACACTCCTCGTTGTTTTTCTTTAAAGCCCTGACAGCCTCCAAGGGAGGCTCTTATTTGTTACCATGGAGACCCAAACTCTGAAAAGCCCAATATGAAGCTGAGAAGTCTAACTACACCCATAGTGTTCATAGGCTATTAAACCTTTGATACTACCTTGCTACCAATAATCGCACCATTTCATTCCCAGCGTTAGGTGAGACAGAAGAGGAAACGTAGAGTTAGACTGTTTGAAAAGGTTTGTGCAGCAGGAACAAAAAAATTTAAATGTTTTAAAGGTTTCTGAAAATTGGATTTTGCCCATAGATGAGCAAGGGTTTCTTATAATATCTCTTGTTTAGCACATCAGCATGGCTGCGATTTAAGTCAGATGTGTTCTACAGGTGAAGAAAGCGAGATTAGAATACATCAGACCATCTGTATTTTTTTCTGCCACAGCGAGCAGCAGTAGGAGCAGTCCAATGAGAAACTGCACGCAATGATCAAATGTCAGAGAGACACCCTGCAACGCCTATGGTCAACCTCTTCCAGCCTGGCTTGGTCAACCTGACTGCAACACCTGACATCGAATTCCAATATACTGTATTAATTTCTAATAATGTTTTATTTCAATAAAATATTATGTTGTAGCTGTAACTGAATTTAAAAGGATGTTAATGATTAAATCGTTGATTTATAATTTTTTGAAAATTATGCTGTTTGTATTAGTAATCAGTCAGATTTTGAAAAACAGGTTTCTTTCACTGATTAGCTCCAAGATTAGCCAACAGATAGATAAAGCTGAATTTTTAATAAAGAGATAAATATTGGGGTAGACTGACAGATGGATAGATGGACTAAGGAAGTGGAAATGGGTTAATTCTTTGACAGACTGATTTATATGAGGCGACATAAAGGAAAGAATAAAGAAGTCAAATGTTGTGGACATAAACCTGGCTATCAAATTTGATTCTGATACAGATATTAGATAATGAAACGTGAAATTAAGCATGTCAGTGAAAATACATCTAAAAAAAAGAAACTAAAGCATGTAGGAATAACTTTATAACCTTAAATAGCATAATTGTTAACTTGGTGCTGCGAGCCTCCCTGGGTCACATGTTTACATAGCCCCACAGCATTTCTTTCTTGTCCTTTTTATGTCTGTACCTATCAGGTTAGAGTGGAGGTAAGCGGGAAAAGAGACGCAGTGGCAGAATCAATACTGGGTCTGAATGTTTCCCTCTGTGTGTGACACTTATATTGATTTACACACAAACCAGTCAAAGGTGCAGGAACTACAGCAACATAAGGAATTAAATGTGTGGAAGAACAGATAAAAAAAGTGTTAAGGTTTGAAAAACTACCTATAGAGATGAAAAGTAACAGTTTTTTCTTCCACCATATTTAAACTTCTGCCTGTCTTTGTCTGTTGTTTTTTACTTTATTTTCCATCTCTGTTAGTGTGTGATCCCTTCCTTGGCGACAGCTGATATCAGCAAAGGCCTCCTGTGATTCCAGACGCTGACATATCAAACCCAAGTGAATCGGAAAAAGCTAAAGGAAAAAGTGACTCAGGTGTGAGTGTGTGTATTTCTTTTTTTTTTTTTTTTAGGTATATTTATGTAAGTCCTTTGATGACTCTAAGAGAGTTCTTTAAGGTCTCTTATTTATACAGGGTGGAGCTCACACATATAAAGGATTCGGCTAACAGATGGCCAGAGGAAATTGCATCTATGCAAAGAGGTCTGTAGCATAACTGGTTTTGCCCCCCCTCAGCTATTACCACTAAATGAGTCACAGTGTTGTTCTCTCTATGGATGCACTTGTGTGCTGTGTATATTCGGGCAACCGCATCATGCTGAATGTTAGGGGCTGCTGGGTGTTATAAGTGATGAAGCAGAGGATAAGCTCTCCTTCTTGTTCCAGGATTGTTAGGCTCGCAGCTGATTCCTGTCGAATCATCTGACACATTTAGTGCAACAGGAATGAGAAGAGCATAGATCTGAGCTGCGGTAACCTGCTGTGTGCGTCCAAGTGTGTGTGGGTGTCGGTGAAAAGTGATTTCAGTCTGAGAGCGGTTGTTGTGGCAGAATTCAGCAGGGAGACTCAAAATAAAATATAGATAAGTGAAAGTGAAACCCGAGCCACTGTAAATAGAAATTACACTTTGCTGACTTTGTGTATCAGATATAAGTACATATCAGATTTTTGTTTTGCAAATGTGCTAATAACACAAAAAAGACTCTAAATTATCATTCCTAACATGGATGAAATTTTGATTTTGAAGTGGTGGGACGCAAGTATTTTTTAATATAACTCTTATTTATAAGTTCAGCATGTTTTTTAGTAGATCTTCTGTTTTTCTTTCCACCACTTTCACTTGCATCTCTGCTATCCCTCTCCTGACAAAATATATGGATGCACGACATGAACAATTGGGGTGCAACAATCCATGTAGATTAAGAACACAGTTTTAAAATTACTATGAGCTAGAATATATAAAATTACATTAATAGATTTTTTCCTTTTTTGATGATAATAATAATAATATAACATTAATACAGATGATTTATCAGCACTTTTAATAAAAAAAAAGTAACTTTTCAAGGTTATTGAAAGCTTTAAAATGCAGTGGAGGATCCTGAAGTGGATATGGTTCTTTATGAAGCCAGTGAAGGTGTTGTAGGAGGGGTGTTACACAGTTCTTTGAATATAACTCACATTTCGACTTTTAAAGAAGCGTCTCTTTCTTTTTTCAGACAACCTCACTGTGGTTCTAATAAACAACTACAAGAATACGCACACACAAATGACACCAATTTAAAGATTTGATTAACACCCCAGATATTACAACCCTTCTAAATTACATGAGCCAAGAGAAGAAAAAATGCCAAACTTATGCTATGTTCACAACTAAAGCAGCAGAGGCAGCAGGAACAGCTAGTTTACATGCAAAGCCAATGGTTGACGCGCATAAAGGCACAGCAAAAGGTCCTGCAGCGCATTTTGAGCAGCAGGAGCAGCGGGTCTGAGCAGCTGAAGCAGCGCGTCGTGAGCTTCTGAACATCTGATGAGCGGAACGCGCTGCAAACGCAGCAGCTGCTGGAGTTGGAAAAATTTAACTTTTGCTGCTCGACGCACCACATCAACCAATCAGAGAAGCTGATCTGGGAGCTGCAGGGAGAGAGACACATCGCTGATGATACAGATCACTATGATCACTCCTCTGAAACAGTTTATGAACATAAGAACATAAGAGCCTATGAACATAAAATGCCAAAATCTGCCAGCAAAACATGCTTTTAGTATCCTGGTGTCTGCAGCTTGGATAACGTACATGAAAAATGCCTTCCAGCCACCGCAGCAAACCAACAAGAGGCTGTTTGCGGTCTGAACATAGCATTACAGTAGCTGATTCCCTCACCAAGTTTTCATCTTTTACAGAGTCAGTTTTTTTCTACAAGACCGGAACTCCTGGACCGTTTAAATTATCTCAAAAATCTGATGCTACGTTCACACCTAAAGCAGCAGAGGTAGCAGACGCAGCTAGTTACATGCAAAGTCAATGGTTGACAAGAGAAAAAGACAAAGGGCTCTGATTTTATTATTCTGTTGCCTGCAGTTTGGATTATGTACATAAAAAAAAGCCTTTCACCCGCCACAAACAGTAGCGGAAAACCGCAAAGAGGCGACAGAGCCAGAGACTGCTGTTGAACTGGGTTCCTAGTGACAGAGCTCTGCCGGTGTACGAGGGTCTGAGCTGCAAAGAAAGGATCGGGTAGCTCCACTCAATGCGCAACAGACCCGGCGCAGCTGGAGAGGCAAAGATGCTTCTGCCGCGTGTCAGACCTAAACTTGTACAAGCATCAAAAACGAAGGAGCACATGAGTTTTTGCTGCTCTTGCTGCTTGCGTTGTGAACGTAGCATGAGAAAGCTGTCCCGCACCACTAGAAGAAGGGCTAGAAAGGCCTGATACTATTTTCTGCTGCTTGGCAAAGACAACACTCAGAACATTCTCCTCTACCCAAAGGCAAAGTGATGTGCCACATTCATACACCATGGTGAACCCCGACACGAGGAGGCTGAGCTGGAGGAAGATAAGAAACATGAACCCAGTCTTTCTTTTACCCCAGTTGGCTAGAAAATAGTTTAGACTCTCTAAAGGAGTTGGGCTCTAGAGCCGAGGTAAGCCCAACTGTTTCTAGCTGGTAGAAATGCTTACCATTTAACTTCCCTTGAGCTGATTTAAGTAGTTTGCTGTTCAGATTTTATTTACACATAAAGCATAATGAAACAACAGCAACAGTGGCATCGGACGAAGGAGTTTGCTCTGCAACAGGAGGGTTGCCGGTTCAAGCCCCAGCTCCAGCTTTCAATGTTGTTGTGTCCTTGTGCAAGACACATCACCCACATCACCTGCTAATGGTGGTTGGAGGGTCTGGTGGAGCTAGGTGTAAGACAGCCTCACTTCTGGCAGTGAGCCCCAGGGTAGCTGTGGCTACAATGTAATTTGCCAACATCAGTGTGTGAATGACTAAATGTAAAGTGCTTTGCTCAAGTCTCCTGATTCGAAAAAGTGCCATATACTGTACAAGTACAGTCCATTTGCCATTTAGCAATAACGTTCAATTTTTAAACATGATTGTAATCAATGTAAAAGCCACTTTGAAGAACATGCCTTTAGTTTCAAGCAAAATTTGTATTGATGTCAGTCAGTCTCTAGAGAGATATATTTTAGTCCATATATTTTAGCATTGTGTGCATTAGCTATACGGTTTGAACTTCAAAATGTACTCACTGATCTCCAGCTGTCTCTGAATGCGGCCTTTGCAGCGCTCCCTGTAATCTGACTGGGTGGTGTTGTACTCTGACATCACCTCAACGAATTTCCGTGACAGTGTGGAGTGCTGGAGAAGCAACAATGAAAAATTCTTTTCACACCATCTGCTAGATGCAATTAGGAAAAAAATCGTTTTTAGATAAACAGAAGTGACGTTTGGTAAAGCAACTAAGGGCATCTATGGACCATCTGGATGTGACCTACCAGCTTATTGATAATTTTTAATTTTTTTTTTTTTTTTTTTTTTTTACAGAAGGTAAAGAATATAAGCAAGCTTAAAGCAGCTTACAAAAGGAAAAAAAAACAATCCAGCTTCCAAATGCTGTTTGCTTGATTCTTTCATCCTGAAAATCATGGAGCTGAAAGAAGTCTTGTTGCATTTGCTTGAACTGCACCTGTGTTTTTCGTATCCTTAGGTCAGCTGAAGATCTGTTCTGCCCCTCTTCTTGCTCAATAGTTTGCTGAATACCTAAAAAAAGAGAAAAGTGAAGTATTCATCAGAAACTGCATGTGAGCTCAAACAGTGTCATAAGGAAAACAAGAAAAACACTGCATGCCTCACAAGATGCTGAAGCTCATAATTTACAGAAGGGTAATCTAACACTAAGTAACTAATGATGGCAAGATATGGTGATGTATATGAGAAAGAAAACAAATATGTTCAATAAAGACTTTAAATATAGATGAAAAGATAACACAGAGTGCTTAACATGGTGGTTTTGTGTATCAACTGTTTCTGAAAGTAGTCCTTTAATAAATCAACCAAGTTTATTAAAAACCAGTATGTTATGATGCAGAGGTTTTAGAATTTAAACTGTAAAACTAAAGAAAATCCAGACTTTGATTATAAGCTCCTTTCCTGCTTTTCTTGCTGGAGCTAAAATTTATTATCAACATCACTTTAGTTTAACCACAGATTCGTGAGGACAGCAGAGAGGATCATCAGGGCTCCTCTTCCCTTCATTATGGACATTTCAAAACAGAGCTGCGTGTGCCGAGTCCGTAACATCATCAGTGACCCCTCAAACCCCCACTTTTCTCCCCTCGGAAGACGAATCGCAGCATCCGCTGCAGGGCCAGCAGGTTCTGCATCCGGCTTTTTTCCCTCTGCCATCAGACAGTCTAACTGCGGAACTCTAAACTGGACTCTGCATCACGCAACATTTGCACTGCTAATGTTTCTGGACTTTTATAATCCTTGTAAATAGGACAAAATGCAACATTCTACTGCATTTTGCACCATATTTATTTTTGCAATGCACTAACTTTGTCATATTAATTGTCATAAACTGGGACAGATGGACACAGTATTCAAGGGGAGACAGTCAGCAGGAAAGTTCAAAACGTTTATAAAAAAATAACAAAACAAAACAAAAGCACAGAGCTGTGGAGCTGCTGACTGCAGCAGCTGAAGCGGGCGGGGCGCAACCCATCACTGACTATCCCTGGTTTAGCAGTACAGTCCATCTCCTTTAGAGCGAGGTAGGATCCAGTCAATGGACAGCCAAATTGATGCGGTGCGGAGCCGCCCAGAGTGTTCCCGATGCAGAAGCCTCTGTGCAACCAGTGCAAGACCAAGCCAGGTCCGGGGAACAGTTCAGAACAAGCACAGTTCTGATCCATACAGGAACAGACAGAAACAGGGTTCCAGGTAGAGCCCTGCACTCGCGGGACCCAACGCAAAGTCGTGCGGCGCAGGAAAAATATTGAAAGCTCATTGCGGGTGCGGGCGGGAGGGAGAGTGCACAGTGTGGGTACGGGCGGGAGCGGTCCCGGGAAATAAAAACATGTTTTTAAATTTAAAAATAAAATCATAAATTATCAGTCTATGTCTATCATATATATATATATCACAGTGTGCTCGATATTGCAGCTCGTGCCACCTAATGCGCGTCATACACTATGCGGTGAAGAATCGGCCAATCATGTGCTCAACTAAGCACAGCGTGTTTAATTCCTCAAACTAATGACACGAATATCCTTGAGCAGTGGGCGAACGTTGCAATCATGCTGGAATTGTGGGCGGGAGAGGGACTGAACACTGCGGGAGCGGGCGGGCGCGGGACTGGAAAATCTGTCCTGCACAGGCCTCTAGTTCCAGGAATTCACAGAGCGTGAAGAAAGGTTCAGAGTCCCACCAGTCCAAAGGCGTGCCCAGACAGACATGAACAGATGCAAGCAGGCGGGCTCAGCGGTCGAGGTACAGAGACAAGACATGGTACGAGGATTTCTGCAGGACTTTAAACTGGTCTCCTCCTAGCAGCCAGGCTTACGGGAATAAAAATGACCATCTCTACGTTCCGATCCAAAACCCTGATGGCTCCATGGAGAAGGACCAGGACATGATCAGAACACAGGACAAACACTAAAACCCTCTCAATCCACTGTCCGCTAGGAATTAGGAAACAAACCTTGGAACTAATCTGGCCTTGATAGCTTGGCTGAGCCACATATAAAGCAGTACCAGCAGGTGAATGAGATCATTGATAATTAGGAGCTGGGCAGAATAAAGCTGGGGAATGACATGAACAATGAAGGCCAGCTATCAGGTTAAATCATGACAATTAATAACTTTTTGCACCATTATTTAAAACGGGTTTCTTTTCCTCCTACATTGTTACATTCTGATCACTGCTGCATTTTATATTGGTAATGTTTATCTTACTCCAACTACAATATCAGTACACTGTTGTAAGCTGTATGCAAAGGCATGTTTTCTTTGTATACACTCTCTGCATATAAAATGACAATAAAGTTTTTCTAAGTCTAATTTCCAGTGAAGGCCTTGCTTTAGTACCATTCATAATGACAGATGTGCACGTATAATGTTAGCCCCAGCTAATGGGAAGCACAACCCTTATTAGAAAATACATAAAACTTATGGAATTTGGCAACTTTCCCATATCCAAAAGATAGTTGTATTTTAATGAGAATAAAAACTGTTCCTGACTTTTGCAAAAACTGAACTGCATCAATGTTCTCCCTGATGGCACTTACACTAAATGTGCGTGACTGCATGTCTGCATGTTTCACATATACACAATAAGACATGAGCCAATTATCTTCAGTTTCTCTGCACTTAAGTAGTTCTACTTCTACTTGAGATGCAATAAAAAGCAAATTAGTCTTTTCTTAAGAGTGGTGATGGACAAGGATCACAGTAGCAGAGAAATATGCAAAAATGCAGAATAAAAGACCAAGAACCATACAGTTCAATTCAACTGCTGTAGAGTTTATTTCTTAAAACACTTTATTAAAAAAGGTCAATTAACCAAATCCTACAGCCTCCAAATCAAGCACGTACACTCCAGTTGATACCAACTATAAAATCATGCGGTAAAACCTAGGTCACAACTCAAACGATCAAGATCCAAGGAAACCCAGCAGATCACATAAAGCCACACACCATCTATGCACCATGTACCTCAGCATTCACTAATCCTTCTTGGTTAAACTGCTGTCGCTCTTAAAGCTTATATTTTGTGCCAAAACTAACAGGGGACAGTGGAATAATTGGCATTAAGGACAAGTCATGTCTATGACTAAATTTACTTGAATTCCCTGGTATTCTAAGAGAAAAGCAGTAGTAGTCTGCATTTTGCTTCATCTTATACATCTATCACCATAATTCTACTGCATATATTCTCGAAAAATGAAAATATCTTGCATAAAAACTACAGGACTGCTTAATTTAACCTCTTCTTGTACCTTTAAAATTAAAATAATGGTCAAATTCTGGCTCCTCACCCCTGAAGGCAAAAGCTGCAGATCCCAGGTTTAGGTTACTCTTGTTTAGAGTAATCTTGCACATTGACAGCAACATTAGACAAACAGCAGTATTAATAAATATGATAACCATGGCGAATGAACCTCATCTTCCTGCTTCTGCAGAATAAAATCAACATGAATAAACAAAACTGTGAGCTGCCAGAACATCATTGTCTCCTCTCTCTTGGTAATATTCCAGGATCATCATAAAAAAAAAAAAACTGTATGCTTTAACATAGGCAAATATATAATTTTACAAACTAGATGAGAGAAGCTTATTTCTTTTTGCATTATTTTATTAACTATTGAATAATGTTTAAAACAATATCAAGACCAATGTCTTTTACCCCCAGGTTCATAGTTTTGGACCAACACTTGTTGATAGATGAAAACAACTACTTACTCTTTAATTTAGAGCGTATTTTGTTGGCCAGCTTCTTGATGTCCGCCATTAAATCCTCTAGCTCGGCTTTGGTCTCTAAAAAGAAAGCAGTTTGAAAAAGACACAAAGCAGAGACATTAGACGAAATATTAAATCCACATACACAAACATCCTTGTACTGGCATCAGTTTCAGAGACATAATCGATAGAGACGCATGGAAAATTGTCTCTCCCAGCAGAGTTCAACAACTGATCAACTTCAGCTTGTTTTTCAGCTTTCTTTACTTGGCCTACCAGTGATCCTCTCCTCTCGTTCCAATAGCTTAACAAGATCACATGATACAGGACATTATTTAAGAAAAACAACCAAAAAACAGAGAGGGAAAATTAGAGACAACATGGCCTAACCTAATCAGGTAAATAAATAAATCTTCTTTATCAATATATGCCACATAAAACTATAAAGATCAATGCAGAAACATATTAATTATTGTTATATCATTATAATATAGCTTGTTATTTTAGTTCTTTAAAAAAACGACTTTGATGAACTAGTTTAAATAATGAAATTAATAATTTTTAAATAGACGATTGGCTTTCCATCTCTAATAACTATTACTGACCTCTAAAATGTTTTTAAAAGGCACAGGATTTTTGCCTGCAAATTTAAATACATGAAAGTCATATTTTTGCTTTTTGCATATATACACAATAGGTTGCAGTAAGCATCTATTATTTGAAACCAACGAATAAGAAACAAAATATTACGTTTGATTAAGTAGAATGGATGTTGTGGCTAGCTAATGTTTACCCTGTAAGCCTGCTATCATCTACTTAATGTAATACTGATTACAGGTTGCCACTTTCATTTCACCAAGTCACACAATGAAAGAAAACACTACTAAAGCAAAGATTTGGTCATATGAATGCTTACCGTTTTCTCTGATACATACACAGAGGAAAAATTGCACTTCATAAAGGACAAACAATAGCTAGGATGATCCCAGCAACTCAAAGGCGAAAGAAGATTGTCCACTATAACTTTAACTCAGTCAACCTCTCCATAAGCTATGACCACCACTCTACTGCAAGATGCTGCCACAACCACATTTACTCATGATGGTGAATTCGTAATAGCTTGCAATGAAGGCCTAAAATTATAGCCGGACGTCTAATGTTTTATTTAAATCTGGTGGCGGCATTTGTGAATGGAAATCCTCGGCTTAAGGTTAAGATCTTATTAAAACAAACCGTAGAAGTTTACACGAAATGTTGATCAGGGAAACAGAAACTGTTGAAGCAGAAACCAGTATCTGAGGTTCAGGCCTGAATCAGTGGTTGGGGCACATAGATGATGTTAAGTACAGGGAGGCACATTCAGGCAGAGATCCAGTGGTTAGACGGGAGGCGGCAGTAAGGAAGCAGAAACAAGATTAATGTCCAGAGATCAGTAGCCAAGGAAATATTCAACATGGGCAAGGCCAACAGGGAAATCGAGGAGCCATGAAGATAGGCAGTGGATGAACGCTGGACATTCACTCACACGTGGCTTTTAATAATCTGGTACTGTTTGTCAGCCACAGAGCAGTAAATAAATTCAGGTAAACGGGGTAACATTTTCAGACCAACTGCAAGGAATATTGTTTTACAAGTGAACCCTTCTTCAACCAACTTCTGTGGGGTGTCTGTGTACCTGTCTTTATAAACAAACCTCTAAGGCCTTCACAAAACAGGTGGATCTATTGTGACAAAAAAAATCAAATGCAGATGGACTTTATTCTAGTTTAACTAGTCTACTTCTGAAGGTAGTTCAGTTAAAACGATTTGTTTAGTCATGTCAAATAAAATGGGACAGAATAGAATTACATGTAAAGATTTACTTGATTTCAGATTTTTATTGGTTATAAAATTTAATAGTATTTCCTTTTCTCTTTCATCAATGCGCTACTTTCTGCCAGTCTATGACATAAAATGTAAGCAAAATTACTTTTTTACACTTTTAGAGATTTGTGGTCTAAAAGGCAAGAATTAATAAGACTGAATTCTTTTTCTAAACCTCTGTAAAAGTAGTAGCCCTTCAGCTTTAATTATCAGTCTCAGACTTTACAATTAAAACCTAATTTATCAACTAAATGTCACACAGTATCCAAATCCTTATTAGGTGGCACCAGGGAGACAGAACACAGAACCCATGGCCTTATAAGTTACTCCAGTCGATCTATTCCGCCACAGTTAAGTGCCTACAGTTCTTTATAATGAGTTTATTCATGCATATTTCCCTGCTTCTTTAAGGCTGTATAAATCACAGAGATAAATTAGAGGCAGCAGTAGCCCTGTTGAACCAAAACTCTCTCCAAACATCTGAACCCAATTACAGACAACCTCAGTGGATAATTTGATTACACAGAAGGAGACTTCAGTCCCTGGCATGCTATCAATTATCAAAACATATTTGCACATATTTTTCAATAACAAAGAGGCTTAAAATGTGAGGTGAGCACATCATCTTCTTCATTTCACATTTCAAATCTGCATTATGTAAATTGTTTTAATACCAGTTTTGATACATAAAACTTGGAAAAAACAAAAAAAAAACAAACAAATCAGCAAAACACATTCACACACCCATGTTGTGCTTAGAATTAAAACATCAAAACAGCTATTATGCAACATATTGTATCCCCAAAACTTAATGGATTTTTAAATTATGCATGTAGTCTCTCTCTATGAAAGCTCCTGGGTCAGCTTCTCTGACTGGTTGACACTTAGCATCCACCTGCAAAGTTCAGATTATCCTAATCCAGCTGCCGTCACTGATTGTTCAAAACGCACGGCTCTAGGACCTGTAAATCCTGCAAGACTCGCTGGTTCCTAAACTCATATCACAATACTGACCTCTTGGCCTGCCTTGAACCCTTTTCCCAAATACTTTGCATGTAAACCATATGTGCTGATGGTCAAAACACTTTTGGTGTGCATGCACCGTTAGGCTCCTGGTGAACATAGGGACCCCTTTTCCTCATTCTCCTACATTCTACTACCATTCTCTGATTTTGCAAGATATGATAGTTCATCTTTTCACTTTGTGTTTTCTTTGCTTCACTTCATAGTAGCTAAATCTGCCCAGGTACTCTGTTTATTTGTGACACCACTCTGTAGGAAGCCATTAGTCAGGCTGGTGCTGTCTAACACAATGTTGTACATTATATAGTTTTATCCAGTTACTCAGTGTTAAGTCCTGTTGGTCTCCTAGATAAAGCAATGGGTGCAGCTTTTTCTACAATGTGTAATTACCTTTGGAGCTAATTTACCCTTATTATCACTTATATTGAACATATTCCTGGGTTGGTTCCTTTTGTGGATCCTCAGTCTTTTCAAAGCTCCCGTCAATCATGTCAGATGCCTGTTTGAAAAGAGCCTGGTTCTGGTTCTGCTGGGGATTACTTCCTGTTATAAAGGAGTGCATTTCTTTCACTACATGCTTGCTTGGTTTGAACGATAGATGTAAAGTCAACAACCCAATGCAATGACCACTCTCGCTATGTGCCCCTTCAGGAGAAGTGAATTCTGAAAAATCATTCACTCAGTGCTTTCAGCTGGGGCTTTTTACTCTAATCCTCAAACTGATCCATCCAAACAGATGTTCTGATCCTGTAATTCAGATCAAGGCAAAATGGAAATATGACATCCCTGCATAAGTCAGAGAGTTTTGTATTATGAATAAGGTAGAAGTTTTTTGTACTCACTTTCATTCAGTCCACCTCTCGTTCACCCCCTCCACATTTTTAAAGAAAAACTAACAATTCTCCAAAGCTGTTCTTCTGGATAAACCCGCGCTCCTCCCACATGCCGAGCCAAAACCCTGAGGGCTCACCGGAGAAGAGCCAGGACACAACCAGGAGACAAACATTAAACCCTCTCAATCCACTGGCTTTCCGGAGTCAGTCAGAAGATGAGAATGACACTGATAGGCGAGAAACACCGGTCTTCAGTTGAAGCCACGTTATATGGCCAGTTATGTGGGGAGGGCTATCTTAGGACAAGGTTTATAGCCCTTTGTCCTGGCTTGTCTGTACCTTGTAGCCTGGTCTCCTGATGACATCTGTCTGTCATCATTTATCTGCTTCCAATTTAAAGGACACCCTAAATGCTTTAAGCCTCCAAGCCTTAAAGCTTGAACATTCCTTAGAGACTCTTTGAAGACACTCTTAGATTCCATTTTCCCCCTTTTATTAGTCTATCATTTAACATGTGTTTATTTTTAGAAGTTAATATTCTTTGCATAGTTATTAGATACAATAATACTGTAAGAGGGATTATTAGGTAATAAATGTTAAGATATTTTAACTGTGATTGTCTTTAATTATTTATACAGTGAGCAATTTTATCACTCAGAATCAGATCCATCCCCTTATTGGTTAACACACTTGAAGAAGCAGAGATAATTTCCTTTGGTGATTACTAACTCTGCTGATAACCATAGTCTAAATTATTAAATTTGATGAGTTCCTAAGATTAGGTAAACCGTGACCTTTCAACATGGCAGAGAGCAGTGAAATAATTCTGTATGGCGGGTATCATCGTTATGCATTCTCTCCTGTTGTGTTTGTAGCTACAAATGAAGTGACATATATTTCTTTAAAATATATATAAATTATACATTAAATAATATATAATTTATAAATTAAACTAAAATTAATATATATTTATATATATATTGTTCAACGCTATGTTCCCTAGCAAAATCAACAACTTAGTACAAATAATAAAGGATCCTCTATGTCACTGGTGCAATTATTTGGGGTCTTTACTTTAATTGTGGTTTATGAGACAGCAAATATTGGGTATTTGGTAACCATGCCTGTTTTAGTTATTAATTTACATGTAAATATAGACCATCTTTGTAAGAAAATACAAATAAATGAAATGTAAAAGAATAAGAAACAAAACACTTTGGATGTAAAACCCAACAGTGTAATTTAAGTGTGAGAACAATCGGACAGCCTCAACACAGCCTCAAAAAGGTGCAAGATTTAGGAAAATGCCCTCCCTTATTCCTCTATAACTGTGGTGTTCGATGAGGGCTGCAACAGGGC